ATAATATATATAACCGCAAATAGTATTTACTAATTACCAAATCAATAAAAAAAAAAAAAAAAAACACACATCATTGTAAAATCAATACATTCATCACTTCGTTCAGAATCTAAAAAGCGGGAAAGTCGTAGATGTCGCTCTGCTTTACAGTAGGTTACAAATAGGTTACTTTGATGGATGGAATTAAATTTGAATTCAATGATATTATACCATTGTATACGATGATAAATGAAAGAGAAGATCTTGACATTTCAATTACCAGCGAAGAACTGGAAAACGCTATAGGAAATATGAAAGATCATAAAGCAGTAGATCTGTATGATATATTCGCAAAAGAAATTCGCTATTTTGGACAAACAAAAAAAACATGGATACTTAACCTTTTCAATAACATTCGAATAACATAAAAAATACTTAAGATTTGGAGGAAAACCAAAATAATCACACTTCCAAAACCTGGAGAAACCCTTAGAGAACCAAAACATTTTAGACTTATTTCATTATTGTGTTATATGTAGAAAATTTTCGAAAGAGTTATACTCAATAGACTAATCACATTTGTGGATGAAAATTTAATACCACAACAGGTAGGATTTCGACCTGGCAAATCATGCATAGGACAGATGTTCAACCTAACCCAGACAATAGAAAGCGGTTACGAAGCAAAGAAAATCACATGTGTAGTTTTCATAGATCTAACAGCTGCCCATGACTCGATAAATCATAGAATAATGACATACAAGTTGTATAAAATTACACTTGATTTCTGTTTCGTTAAACTAGTAGAAACTTTACTAAGTAATAGGAGGTTTTTTGTAAGTCATAACGAAAAAAAAAACAGCAGACGGAGAAAGTCTAAAAATGATATCTACCGCAGGGCAGTATACTAGCACCAACAATGTTCAATATATACACCAATCAATAAACTATTAAATATATATGTTGACGATACCGCTGTTGCAGTACTAGACACGAGTTTTGAAACAGTGGAAAAAAAGATAACTATGACACTTAAGAAGTCGGTACTTATTACCAAAGAAATCACTTACGACCAAACCCAGCGAAAACCCAAATATGCTTCTTCCATCTGARGAAWAGGGAAGCAAACCGCCAATTAAATGCAATTTGGGACGATATAGAACTCGAGAATATCCAACATCCCAAATATTTAGGAATAACCCTGGATAGGTCCTTAACATACCAAGCTCATTGTGTGCTTTGAGCTAAAGAAAAATATATCGCCACGAAACGGACTGTTATGAAAACTAACGGGGAGCTGCCATATACATTAAGAACTACTGCGATGGCTATAAGTATGCCTATCAACATATGCCCACTCAAACCAAATCGATGTCACACTGAATGAAACGTGCTGACTGGTGACAGGTTGTCTAAGWAATTCCAAAGTTGAAGAAATGTATGTACTTGATGGAATTGCACCACCAGCAATCAGGAGGGCAGTTCAAGCAGATTGGGAGAGGAGAAAAATGACGAAAGATGATAGGCATTCAATGCATGGAATTGAAGTAAACAATTTCCGGATAAAATCAAGAAACAGTTTCCTAAAAAAAACGAAATGCTTAACAACAACTAAGGAACAGGAAAGAGTTATGCAATAGACAAGCCAAATTAGAGATAAAAGATGGGTCCTCAGCGAAGCGTTACCATCAGGTTAATAGAGGTAATCAATTAGAATAGCCCATTTATTTTTATCTATTTGTTTGTATTTTATATATTTTATATTTATGGTTATAATAATATATAATATGTGTTCATTTTAAAATTTTGAATATTATATAGGTTGTTCAATACAATAGACAAGCGTATTTGAATTTATATTTAATTCGTTTTAAAGAATATTTCTTATAACATAATTGCATATTTATTGTTATTCGCAAAACAAATATTATTTACTTTTTTGGACATACTTAAGAAATAATATTGTTTACTGCACTTTGCAGTTGTGTAAATCATCGTTTACTCTTCCCTTCTATTAGAAAGTTTTAATTTTTAGTGCTTTTGTAAAAAAATATGAAAACGAATCTTAATAATTAAGAAGTTTATAAACAAAATGAACTATGTGAACGTACTCATCTAGAAAAAAAAATTAAAATATTGCCAAATCCCAAAATATGAGTAGGTAATAAAAATAAAACCAAATTTTTTTTTAATGAATTAAAAATGTAATAACCATCATATTAATATAATGAATTATTTATGTTTATCGATACCAGAGAAATGTATATTTATAATAATAGACTTTTGATGRGAGTGGAAGTGCTTAAGTACATTGGTAGTTGGGAGTGTTGAGATACCCAATTTTCCAGTTATCAGTTAGTTATCTCTTCAAATTTTTAAACAAATTATTAATATATTATGTGAATCTGATTGCTTAAAATTTAGTAAAAATGTCTTGCCTATTTACGCTTATGCTGTGAAAAATGATTTAATTTGCAATGTATTGAGTATCATTTAAATACAATATAATATATTTACTACACGGACATCCAATCCAATCTCCAATTAGCTGACAACTTCCATGAAACACTTGGTCCTGATCTAGCCAATATTGAAAAAATATTAAAATATTTTAAATCTGCCAATTTATATAATCATACATGATACTATACTAATTTAAAACATGATAACCCTTTTAAGGAAATAATCTATGTTGTTGTGGTTTATCTAAATAAAAAACAAATATATATGTGTACGAGTATGTTCTTAATTTAAATTATCAACAAATTTATCACAGTGTGTTTTGTAAACGTTGAACTATAAAGAAATCTTATAGAAACTGATACAGACTGTAGGTACACTTATTTAAAAACTGGTACTAAATATTATTTTACTTTTCTTATTTTTTTTTCTATAATTATTATACTTGACATGGTTGATAAAAGCTTTGTGAACAATATTTTAAATTTTTAAAACCACAAATTATACACTATAACGGTACACAATTTTTCTTAAGTTCAACATAAATTTGATTAATTTGTTACTGTTGACATTTATTATGTAATAAGAAAAACAGAATATTTGTTTAAACATAATAATAAATTGCATTATACTAACATTTATTTATTTACATTCTTCATAAGAAATGTGTTAATAAAATATAGTACTGTAATAGTAGAACAATGTTTTATAATGAATACGTACACCATGTCAAAAACGATTTGTGTTTAATTTTTATTATTATTATTATTAACAATGCATATCCGAAACMAATATTAAAATATAACCTTCTTTTCAACATTGGTATTTGACCTTTTTATACAATGTATAATATATGCATAAGTAAATATATTTGTAGTACTTGTACCAAAAAAAAAATATTTTTAATTTCTATTAAAGCTTATTTTAATTTAATTTATATCAAATTATATATTTATGATGTTTCATAGACTACTCTACTGTACTTAGTTGATTAACATATTTTGTTTTGATAACAGTACGTTTTGGGTTAGCATTATGTTTTTAGTTTTTCATGTAAATACATAAAGGATATCAAGTGCATATATTTATAATAGGAGTAGGTACTAGGTACTGTTATCTTATTATTTTATATTAAAACGTATCGTTGATAATATTGGCCAAGTCAGACCTTTTTGTCACCAGATCATGGCACAACTAGTATTAAGCAGTAATAGTCACTGAAGTCTAAGGGTTGGTCCATCAGCATTTCAAGTAAAAATTAATAATTGTGTTCAAGTGTCTTAATTATTTGTTTAATATATTAAAAGTTCTAATTATTTATACAACAAAATTTGAGTTGTTAATAATAGTATGTAAAAAGTTTAACAGTATATTATGCTAATAATATGCTAAGAAACATTAAAAATTACTGAATTGACTATATATTTAAATGATTTATGATTGAACGGAATTTCGACAGGAATAACACGTTTTTATTTTACGTTTTATTTTCAGGAATTGGTCGTAATCACGCCAAATGAGAGAAACTGGCGCGGTATTCTTATCGCGCTTCTGGTCATTGTAGCCGTTTTGGGCTTGATAGTATTCTTTATCGTCCTGCTGTCCCCACCATACAAAGGTCCTAGAAATCTTGGAAGTAAATTTACGGTTGATCAAATTGCTGGGGATACATTCAAAGCGCCTTCATTTAATGGCTCATGGATATCAAGTGAGTTATTTAACCTAGTTATTTATCGTTATTTATTTGATAAATTTGCTGTGATTGTTACGTTCAATTTAAAGAGTAATGAAGTTGTTTTACTCGTTACCCAAATTAATTCAATTTGTWATCAAAAAAAAAACTTTTTATTACATTCATATTACGAGAAAACAAAATCAGTCTATATGTATTTGTCTAATTAATTATTAAAGATTTTTTTCGATAAGCAATTCAAGGATAAATGCTTGGTATATTTAGGTATAATTTTAAAAATACGTCAATAGCATTTTTAAAATACATTGATTAGTTACTTAATGATATCATAAAAATAATATGACATACAACAATTATAAATTAATTTTAACATTTAAAGTATATTTAGGTTAATACATAAAAAACAAAACTAACACCGGTCCACGCGATCTATTCGTAGGAAACATTCTGTGTTCTTAGAGAGGTGCGAGGAGACAATTGGTTCAAACCATTAAAAAATTATATACGACGAGTTAAAGTGTAATATATTATAAACATAATAATATTTATTTTATTTGTATATCTACTCAATAGCCGTGGTATAAACATCTATAATATTATTATTATATATTTTATTTTTTATTTTGTTTAACGCCTTATATGTACGCCCTATACTGTATCACATGTACTTATTGTGCCATAAAGTATAAGATTGTCAATTCCATAAAAAAATTAAGGCATTTTTTTTTAATTTTCAATACTCAAAATCAGTTAAGTGCACCTCAATATACTTATATTATATATAGGAACTAATCATCAAAAGTAATTTCCATTTAATTTCCGTCACGTGGAAACAATTCTACGTAACTACGTGATCTTTCATTGCATACGTTTTTAACCAACTCTGTTGAATTGTGATCTTTTTATATACCTATTTTTAGCATATATAATTACTATATATAATAATAATTATATTATGTCAATAGATTATAGTTAAAATAGTGCTCGTTCTATGTTAAGCTATTAAAAAGATTGATTTAATTCCATGTAATAATTTAAAAGTTGTATAATATGAAAAACTGCATAAATCGTAATTTGACATTCCTAAGGCATATAATATATACTAATTTATTCTCTAATGGTTCTTCCATGCCTAGTACTTCAAAAATAAATCGTCTTCGATAAGGGAAACATAATAATAGTTTAATGTTAAAATTAAATTAAAAATAGAACACGATCATACAACAACTAATAAAAAACCTCACTAATACCTCACGATAAGTAAAGCTCTTATTTTTTTTTTATGTTTTCACATACCTACATATATTTGCTTGTATACTTAAATCACTCAAGTACATATATTTACTCAAAATATATAATATTAAAAAAAAAAACATGTCATTTAACAGAAAAAACCAATGTTATTGTTATATCATGAAGATTATTAACAAAAAAATTAACAATTCTGTTACTGACATAAAAAAATTATATTATATAAGCTAGCCTTAAAAATTTAAAATACATTATATTATAATAATTGACCAGAAATTAAAATATTCATAAAACAGACTCAAACAGGTTGTTCTTAAAAATAATTACAATACAAATAAATTTTAAAAAAGCGGGTATGTCGTGGATGTCGCTCTGCTGTACTACAGTAGGTTACAAATGGTTTACTGTAATGGATGAAATTAAATTTGAATCCAATGATATTATATCATTGTATACGAAAAACGATTCTGAGTGGTATCGGTTTATCTGTCTAGGATATATTATAGATTGTTAAAAATTTTCATATCTAAGATTTAAAAAGAAAAACTTTTATGTATTTCTATCTAAGATAATTTTAACATTGCCGTAATTTTTACGTATTTAGTCAGAATTTAAACCTTAAATGCATATGAAACAAAATCGTGCCTATGTATTTTTAATATTTTTCAACTATTTAAAAATGTGTTAGGTGTTTTGAATTAAATTTTCAAGCTTTTCTACCCAACAAATAAATTTTTATCGTTATCTATAGAAAAAAGTAAACTTAAAAAGTTGAAAAATAAAAATTACAGTTAACATCTCAAAGCAAATCAAAATATTTTGAAAACTTTATAAAATAAAAAATGCCTTTATAAACATTCAGTGAAAATTGTATGTATTCTATGGTCATTGGTCATTTGTTTAAAGTTAAACCAAAATCGATTTTCCCGAAAACTGATTGTATGAAACATTCCCCGTTTTCCCTTAATATTTAGTTTGTTTTCCCGATTATTTAGTTGAATATTGAGTAATTTTACTTTCTCTCCAAAGTACCAATTAGAATCACTTTCTGATCGAACGACGTACTGAAGTCGAAAATCGAAGCATTTTTATTGCCCCAAAACGTGATGACAGACACACAAAAAAAAAAAATACAAAAAAAAAACAAATCATTGTAAAATCAATACATTCCTCGCTCTSCTCAGAATCTAAAATAAGTAAAAATTGTTTTTGTGAAGTTAGCAAATACACAGTTGAT